GTCTATAGGTGTAGAAGCAAGGTTAACTTAAATGAACCTTAGTGTATCTGTAATTGGACATAAATTACTCAATAAAATGCATATGCACAAAGCATCTTTTACCCGAAAAAAAAAAAAAAAAAAAAGAAATATTATTTGAATTATTGGATTTTTATTATTAAGCTTGTTAATATAATTTATTGATATTATTTGTATTATCTATTTGTACTATTAATTTATATATAATCATATTTTCTTTTAGATAATATAATCTCTTTTATATTGTTATATATATTATAAATTATTATTAGTTTCTTTTAAGTTTTTTATATATTTAAATTAATAATATATACAAAATATCAAAAATAATTTGTTTTAATTATAAATAAAATAGCCTAGTCTTTACTTTATTTTTTATTGCTGTAAAAATATTAAATTACTAGTAACATTATTAGTTATAATACCTATTATCTTTTAAATATAATTAATAAATACATATAAATATATAATAAATAATTTTTATAAAATAAAACATTTCTTTGAATTATAGAATTTTTCAAATATACTAAAAATATTTTATTTATATTTGTATCAAAATATATATCTCAAATATATATAAATTAATGATTTTTTTTTATGTCAAGATAAGACATTACTCATTATCTTTATAATTTATTTAAATTCTTAAATTCTATATTGAAACCAATTTTCAAAAATTAAATATGTAACAATTTTAATAATAGGATTTGTATATTATAAAAACATTTGATAAAAATTTTCTATATCAAATAATTTTTTAAAAAATTTTTATTATAATAAAAATACAATATTTCCAATTGGAATTTACATATAAATTTACATATAAAAATTTTTAAAAAATTTTTAAACTTGAAATTCTGATTTAAAAATTAATTTTGCAATAAAATTTATAATAGCTGATTATAAAAATTAAAATAAATTATTTTTTAACTATTAAAAAACATATATTTAAAATTTTAAATTGTTTAAATATGAATTTGTTTATTTATAACAAAAATAATTTGTCCAAAAAATATTACTCACCACTGTATATGAAGACTACCAAATAAAATGCTTGATTTTTTTGAAATTATGATGTGCTTAAATAGGACAAAGAGTGATATATTCAGATAATGGTAAAACACGAAGGAGTTGGATGATTTTGGTTCGCCAAAAATTATTATTTGCCTCACAACAATTTATTCAAGAAGTAGAGCGTAATGTCAAACATGCTATTATTAACCTTATCAAGTTCTTTTATGAGTTTTCAAGATCGCCTGCTGATTCAAGTACCTTCCTATAGCTAAAGATTTGCCTAAATTGCATGTTCGTTACTTTATATTGGAATTGGATCTTTGTTATTAGTCAAGATTGTATGAAAAGTCATTGCGTTTGAAATATTGGGAATAACTGTTTGGAATTTAAATATTCGTACGACTTTAAGTTTACATTTTGCTTTTTATTTACTCAATATATTATAAAATTTTAAACATGTTAATAATTATTATAATTAAAGAATAAAATTTAAATATAATAAAGTTTAGCTTCAGATTTAACGGTTATCCCCATTACATCGAGTATTGATGAAAAGTTCATCGGCCTTTGAAATTTCATTAATTGTATAAATATAAGAATCGCCAGTAGGTTAGCGCACGAAGTAGACAAAAAAAAATGGAAATAAAAATAAATCGTACATTTAATACCCTGTATCTCTAATCAATAAATATTAAAAATTGCTGCCTTTTTTTCGTAATAAATATTATTTTAATAAAGCTATAGAATTTTTTATTAAAATAAAAAAAATAATAAAATAATTTTACTTAAAATGGCCATCGAATGTTTTTTATTCTTTAAACTCAGACCGAAAATATTGAACGGGTCAGCGTAAGCAAATGATCTGGCGAGAAGGACCCAATTAATAATGTCGGTCGGTCTCTATGCGGTATATTGTACTTAATCGGAAATGAACAACCCCGAATCACAAATTGGATATGATGCTAGAAAAAAAATTTTATTAATATTAGAATGTCTTTTATAGAAACTATACTTCAAACATCCACTAAAATAACTTAAATACACTTATCATGGGATTGCATGGAAGGATGTGTCCCGATTTTTCAGAACACTAAGTGTCAGACCCAGAGCACTGTGTCGAAAGACAATAACTTTCCCCATTTTTTGATCCCAATATATTCGTATTTTTTTTCTCAACTTAAATGAATGACACGCTTAACAATGAAAGGTAGGTATTGCGAAACAAATAGATTATTTAAGTCGAGGCACCAAATAGTGATTATGCTTTTGTTTCACCCCCAAACTTACTCCCCTATCACTAATGTGCCACATTTTCGACGGATCAAAAATTATATCAAGTGAGGTAGGAGAGTGACGACAGGTGGTACGTTATCTTCCGGTTTGCGAGATATCTTTGTCTACTTCTTTTTGCGAGAAAATATTACTAACGTCATGGGATTTACTTCGGTAACACAAGTAGCCTCCTTTATAACTCTGAGCCAAGAGTCCAGACTCAGTCTTACTCGAAGATGAACCAAGTTAATCCTGAGTAAAGGAGCCCGTATTGACCGTAGATCCTAGAGACACACACGAGGCGTGTTTCTTCTGAATGTCCGGTACCGTCCACTTCCGAAACATGCACAGGCATATTTTTTCAGCTTCTTGGTAACCATCCACCTACCAAACACACGAGGCGTTTCTCGGGTTCTTGGTAACCGTCCACCTACCAAACACACGAGGTGTTTCTCGGCTTTTCGGTAGAACTTAACTTGTCTCCCAAAGCTTAAAAGACGTAGTTGAATATCATGTGGCTAATCAATCGAAGATAAAATACGTACATGATATGTCACATGATGGTTGTGCATGTGATGGACAGGAGAAATCAAGATCATCACGTCGCGTAATAATATACATCCTACGTGCAAATTCACAAGAACATAGAAGATAATGACCAAACTTTCGATTTGGCTGAAGAATAATCTTCACAATAATATTAAGAACGACCTAGATTCGACGCTTGATGCCTTATTGAAATTAAGCCCCCCTTTCAAGAAAAGTATCAGCATGATTGAACAAAAAAAAGCGTTAAAATCGTCTATTCGCACGTTCTTCAAGAATGGTGAAGAAAATGTGACAAAATATGGGTCTTTATACACGTGGATTAGTAGTGTTGAAAAAGTCACCTCGAACAAGAAAAGGCTTAAAATTATAGATAAGAAGTATCGCGCAGTTTTCCAGAGAGCACGATTTTTCTCCAGTGTAATGCAACACGCAATAGGAAGCCTAACAGACCACAGACTCAAGAAAGAGTTACAAGATCAAGATCAAAATATGGAAGGCCAGGAAATACGAAAGAAGATCAAGAAAATGAAAAGGAAGGTGACAATGATGATGAAAGGGAAGGTGACGATGATGAAGAAAAGGAGGTTGATGATGAAGAAAAGGGTGATCGAAGTGATCAAAGAAACGAAACAAAAGGTCAAGAAGATATAGTATTATTCTCACAGCGGTTCTCATTTTCACCTTCAGAGCAGGGTGCATATGTTGAATTGATTCTTGAACACGTGGAGTTATCACTTTTTCGATTTATTATTAAACAAGAAAAATATATTCCCCATGAAGCTGTGAGAAACTTTGCATCAAAATGCAATCCACCGAAAAAAGATGATTTTTCAGATGCAGATCTTTTATGTCTTCTTAACTTTATAACGCAGAATATAAATTTATTTACGCTTGGTCAACATCAGACATTATTCCATGGATCAAACAATATCAATCCATCATTTATATTCAAGTCCTTTTAGGTCGAAGCTAGACATCATAATGCGCATGGAATAACAACCCTAAAAGGAAGGTGGAGTGATGAGAATCTACAAAGACTTTCAACATTAGCACTAGAAGTAACTGTATGTCTCGGTAGGTTTTAACGGTCGTTTTACAGAATTTATATGAGCAATTATTTTTTTATGCATGATTTATTGATAATAGGGGACCAAGATACACTCAAACTATTAAGGGAAATTAAGCAGAAACTGGAATCCGAACTCATGGAGCGATGGATCTCAACAAGGAAGAGAAGGCACGAGGAAGATGATAATGAGTGTAATGTGAAGAAAAGAGACTTGAAAAATATGGAGTACGGAGAGTTGACTGACTTTGCCCTAAATGTAGTCAGTAAATTGGAAAAGAATGAAGAACAAGTAGGGAAAATTGTACGATTGGCTATAGCTAAAGATGAGGCATTGATTAATATTTGGAAAAGTTTAATGACTCAAAAAGATGAATATGCGAAAATTATAAAATTCGTGACTCTAGCAAATTTCCAATTTGACATGGTGAGTACGCCAGATATTATTTTCAGATGCCTGTTTATGACTAATTTTGGAATATCATATTCACAGCACCTAAAAATCAAAGAGGCCATGACACAATAATTATACAAATTAAAAATATATATTAAATATATGTACAGGGGGTAGACAAAATTTACGACAATCTTCAATCGACACTACCAAAATCAAAGAGGTGACGCATAATTTTTTAAACTGATGCAGTCCTGTCTTTATGGTTTGCGTATAAAAATTAAGCGACATTTTATAAGGTAACTGTACGTACAAATATGATTTGCTATGTGCACATAAAACCATGCAAACCCAAAAAAATGCATTATATACGTACAAAAAGAAAAATTCAATATTTAGCTACTCCTCATTTTGCCTCAATTACAGCATTGCTGTAATGTGATGAGGCATATTATCAACAAGATTGCAAAAAAAAATCAAAGGAATTGATTTCCATTCACGAACACCGGCTGGGGTGGAATTAGCACTCCAATAGGGTAAAGATTTTTTGGGGAGTGGATGATTTTTGCTAATATTATTTTTCACTATAAACCAGCTATTCTCAATAGGATCTAAATCTAGAATCAAGAAAGAATTTCATTATTTTCTTTAGTAAGTTCTTCTTTACTATTTTTGCAGTGTGTACAAGGCGTTATCCTGTTGAAATATACTATCTTTATATAGAAACATTAATTTAAAAGATGGGACAATATGATCTCAAGTAGTTTTGCATGAATTTTATTACTTGTTTTATCATATTATAATATAAAGTAAACCACATTATATTCACAAAATCCTGTCCAAATTATTCTTGTTTTACTCTTGAAAGTTGTTCTCACAAGACAATCTTGATTGTATTTTTCATTAATCCAATAAATAAATCTTTATTTTTCAAGAGATCAATTTTTACATTTTATATACTATGCAAGATAATCTTTGTAATCTTTTCTAAAAGTGGAGTTTGCAACAAGTAAAACAAAAATGTAATCAAAGTTAGTTAAAAGTGTGGAAAAATGTTCTAATATGTAAAACTTGATTTTTTTCAATTTTTCATTTACTTTTGAAGTTGTTTAATATAATATAATAATTCTTTATTATTATTTGTAAATATAATTGCAACTAATTCATTGATTAATAATGAATGACCTGGTTTTTTTCTTTCTTTAATAAGAAATTTAATATAGTAGTGTGAAACCAATTAATATTTTTGGCAATGGTTCAGTATAACTGTTTTAAATAATAGTTTTTAAAATTTCTTTCTATTGTTTTTTAGTTAATATAATTAATTAAAAGAATTTTTATTATATTGGTTTATACAAAATAAAAAATTATGCAATATTGCACAAAAATTATATTACTTTTACATATTAATCTATATAGCTTTACTTGATTACATAATTTTTTTCTATATAACTATATACAAATTATATAACTGTATACTAAAACTGTTTGAATTAAAAAAATTCTTTTTACTTTCTTATTACCTATATATAGTATTAATTGAAGAATAAAAAAAAATAATATAATTTTATCTATTCCTATATAGTAATAAAAAAACAATAACTAAATACTATTATTTAGTTGTTTCATATTTATTTAAAAAGTTAAAATTTCAAATGTAAATAAATTAAAACATATTTTTTAATTTACAATATATTTTTCTATTACATTTATTATTAATTAAAAAATTTTATTAAGTTTGAAATCTTATAATTAATTAAATAATAAATTATATTATAATTTTATAATATTTTATTTAATATTTAAATTATAAAAAATTATTTTATTATAATTTAAATAAAAAATAATTGATTAAAATTTTTTTAAAATAAAAATGTAACAATTTTGATCTGTAACTGCACTACAGAACCTATTGTACCAGGTGATCCAAATGCCCTAAAAGATATCTGGTTCACCCCTGATGACCTACAATTCTAAGACATATTTCCAGACAATTGTTAGACACATATATGATATAATTTTGACTCCTGACAATGTGCTATGCCACCAAGATGCCACTAATTAATTGCTATAAACCAATATAACCAAATTAGGAGCATAAGGCCATAGAGCATATATATTGTTTATATTATTTTTTTTAATTTTTTTTTATATTTCTTTATGTTAATTAAGTGCATATATCTCTGGAGGTTAAATCTTATATATTTTTATATTTATTTATCTATATATTTTTATATTGTATAAAGTCAAATTGTATAAAAGTAAGGCTTCAAAAAGTATCAAACTGATATCATACTAGTATCGAAATGATACCAATCTATAATAAATTTAATATATGGGTTATAACTTACTTATATGATTTTATAGTAAATTTAAGTATTGAATTGATATAGAACTGATATCAAAGTGATATCATTAGGAGTCTTATATAAAAGAATACTCTTTTAATCTTAATAAAGTTCCAACTCTATTGATATTAAAATAATAATTACTTAAGTTCTTTATCTTTTGAAATTACTAATAATTTTATAAAACTTTTACAAAAAATATTTATTAAAAATATATAATAAAAATATGATTTTAAAATGAATATATATATATAAAAAAAAACTCTTTCATATACATAACATTTTTTTTAAAAATTTCATTTTATAGTAATTTTTTCAATATTTTTTTTATTTTTGTCTTTTAATACTCAAAAGTCTTTCACACTTCTTTTACTTTTATTACAAGAACCCCAAGAAACTTAGGAAAGTATACTGATGCATCAGGATGAAATCTTTGACCTGGGAAAAGTAAGTTTTAAAATCTTGCTTTTTTCTTGGATTGCATGAGAAAAGGCCCATGGCAGTTACTTTTCTACAAATTTTTCTTGGAATTCTTTCCATTTATACTTCTTATTAAAAAACTCTTCTTATTAAATAATCACTTTCTGTTCTTAAAGGGCTATTCTTTATTTCAAAAAACCAAATATTACATCAATATTATTTATATTGTTGGCTTGGGGCACCAGCAGTATATACAATACTTATTTTTCACTATCACTCAGCACAACATGCCACGTTACAAAAATCCAAAAATTTTTACTCAAAAAATTTCTTACCAAAAAACTATAATCAGTTTACTCCTGTCAATCAATCATTACTTCAAACTCAAACAATCAAATATTATCAAATATCAAAACAAATTTGTACAATCAAAACACTACACAATGATCAATATAAACAAAATCAGTTTTGGCAACTACAATTAAAACAAAATTATATTACCGACTTATAAACTAATTATCTTATCAACCATCAATTATACCAATATAATAACAACAAATCAAATCACATGCACTTTATCATTTGTGTTAACAAAGATTATGCTTACAAGTAGCAAAGAACTGAAGAGACAAAACAATGAGCCTGGCCAAATGTTCTTTTGGAAATATAATTTTTTTTCTTATGGATTTTATAGATTATTTAATTTTGTTTTAGTTTTAGTTACTTTTATTTTTTTCTCTTTTCAGATTTTTTTTATTATTAAATTTTCCTTACATTTTAAACATTTTTTTTCTAAGTAGATAAGTATAGCTACTACTTGACCTATATTTAACAATAATATTGTTTTAAAATTTCTTTTCAATATTAGTGTTTATAATTTTAGTAGATAGGTGTAACAATACTATTGGTGAAGTGAGTAATACATGGTGTATTACACAAGTGGCATGAACAAGTCAATGGAAGGAGCAACATTCTTGGAATACAATAACCTAATCTATGTCTCTTTAGGACATCTGGAACCAATTTCAAAGTTAACTTGGGATGTTTGAAGAACAATAATGTGTCACACTCACTGGAGTCAAGGAACCACTAATGGTCAAAATCACCGTAACAAATTTGTTAGTATCATGACCCACGAAAAGTTCATGCAATGAAGGAAAGGTACAGTATTTTTCTTTACTCCTAATTTTTTAGGATTTTCATCAGATCTGAGAAAGATGT